AATCGACATTTCGAAGTCGACAATTCGGCGAGCCGTCACGGAAAATCCACATATCGATCGACAATTATTGAACATGCAACCGGTCGTGAAGCTTTTGCACAAGAAAGCCTGATTGGAGTTCGCCAAGGCTCATATGAATCCGACTTGGTCTATGGTTAGAAAGCCGCTTATGTTTTATTATTTTTTTGCGTTTAGGTGATCTTTTCCGATGAGAAGAAATGGAATTGGGGTGATCCCAATGGCGTTGACTACTATTGGAGGGATCTTCGACGTGATCCGATGGTGTTTGGAACTCGAAACTTTGACGGTGGTTCTGTGATGATTTGGGCCGCCTTTTGTGCTGATGGAACGGTCGCTCTGAAGATGGTTTCGAATCGGATGACTAGATAGATATCTTGAACAATTGCTTATGCTTGAACAATGCTTGAACAATGCCGTTTTTGCTCCTAAATCCAACCGTTCCGGACTTCTTTCAATACGACAACGCGTCAATTCATCGAGCCGGAGACACCCGAGACTGGCTGAACAGCAACAACATTGCAACTTTGGACTGGCTCGCTCAGTCTCCTGACCTCAATCCGATATAAAATTTATGGGGAATACTTGTCCGAGCTGTTTACAAGAATCATCGTCAGTTTCAAGACGTTTCTACACTTAAAGCAGCAATTTTTTCGGCCTGGAGCGATCTCGACGTCTCTGCTTTTCAAAACCTCATCAATTCAATGCCAGACCGCATTTTTCAAGTAATTAACCGTTCTGGTGCGTGTACAGATTATTAGTTTTGATTTTTAACCTTTGATTTTAAATTTGTGTCGATAAATAAAAATATTTTCATAGTGCGTTTAAGAATTTGAAACGGTTGATTTAGCAAAAAGTTTCTATTTTGAAAATTTTTACTTTTTACAGTATGCTTCTTTTTTGTGTATTTTAGGTTTTAAGACATGCTCTTTCTCATAGAAAAAGATTAATAGTTGTAGCGGTGGTCAAAATGCAAAATCCGCTATTTTAGAGGGTGCGTTTAAGAATTTGAAACGCACTGTAGTTACAGTAATACAAGAGACAATTCCCGAATCCCGAATCATTATTTGAGCAATCACTTATTGAAACCAAAGTATTTTGAAACCTATTGAAACTATTTTTTCGGGAAGTTTCGACAGTTTATCTTTGAATTTTTCCGAATTTACAAATTTGAATTTAGTCATTTTACGGCTCACCTACGGGCTTTAACCTTTACGGCTCACCTTTACGGCTCACCTTTACGGCTCACCTTTACGGCTCACCTTTACGGCTTTAACCTTTACGGCTTTAACCTTTACGGCTCACATTTACGGCTCACATTTACGGCTCACATTTACGGCTCACCTACGGGCTTTAAACTTTTAAATCTAAATATTGATTTGACACTTCCGTACTCATTTGATCTAGGCAATTTTGAAAATACACTTTTATCTTCACAGTTTCACAATGAAATATGTAAATGTAAGTTTCAAAAAGTTCCCCTTGATAACCATTTTCCATTTTTATTCGAATACCTTTATGTCTTTCCATTTTTTTTCCTTTTCCCATGTGAGTAGGCATTGAAAGCAAAAGCGAAGAGGAAGAGAATTTTCTTGCTCCCAAGTGTATTCAAATGAGATTTGACGCACACTTTTTTTTATGTGTGGTGTAAAAGATAAAAATAAATGCACGTGAAACAAAACAGGCACAGAAAAAAGGAAATTCGATTCATTCGACTCATTTTTGGCGTTCACAAGCCCAGGTCATGTTTTTCCGAACCAAATTCAATCCAACAAAAAACCTCGAACTTTTTCGATTTGCTTTTACGCAATTTACTCCAAATTTCCTGATTTAATAATGTTTTTATCTTTTTTTTTACTTAAAATCTTCATTATTCTAAAATCATTTTGAAACATGCGCAGCTGTTCGCTTGACGAATCCAATTTCCTTCCATTTAGCTCATTTAGCTCGCTTCCCCATCCCCCTGGAGATCCACACGGCTCAATTTTTAAACTCAATTGTTTCTAAATTGGACGCAATTTGAACCTCAAATTATGTAACCATCGTGTCCGTTTTAGCCGGTTTCATTTTGTTGAACGTTTAACAAACCGTGCTTGGAAATGACTAAACTTGCGGGTTATTGATTTCCTTCAGTAAGATTGAAACATGGTTTCCTGATCCCATGACGATTTCATAAAGACTTTAAGTTTCCCGATTTATCTGGGTTTTCTTGCATGGCTCAACTGCAGTAGATGCAAGAAGATCGAGAAATTGAATTAACGTTGACTCTTGCAAACAGGCTCGTCTAATATCGCGTTCAGTATTGTTCTGAAGCCACTTATAGTCTCCAGAACTTCAGCTCTTTTATTTCTCATCGTTAGCGACCTTTTGATCAACCGGCTTAGTTGGTTAGCGGTTCTTGAGCTTTCGATTATTGAGTTTTGGGGTGTCCATCTATTAAATTCATGAAAGAATTAATTGTATATTAACTATATTAACTATTGTATATTGTACTATATTAACTGTTCGTTTATTGCTTTAATTCTTGTCGGCAATCTGTTCCGGTCCGGGTTTAACTGGCCGTATCCGAAGAGTTTTTGGCCACTCAATCTTTCATTTCTCTCACGGAAACGATGGTGTCACAGAAAAACGAAGACTTGAGTGCATCAGACATTTTTGAGCACAAAACACACCTGTAAACGGATTGTGATTCTTTTTCTTTAAATCTACCTGTTTTTTCACGCAGATTTTGCTTCTTGATCATTCTCCCAATAGAACAATCCTGAGCTTCCTCACATTTTTCATGGAAATCTCCATTTTCCCCTCGCTTTTCTCATCCATTTTCCTATATATCTTTTGATGAAAAGGACACGTCAAAAAATTCCCCCCACCGAATATTCATTTGATCGCTTTTTGATGAGGAGAAAGTTATATCTTTCACTTTTTCACGAAAATGATACAACTCGTTTCAGGTTTTACCATTTGAGATTCGATTTGAGACTCGATTTGCGGATTTGGATTGTCTAGATCTTTTTAGATCTTTTGCACACTTGTCTATTGTCTTTTCCTTTAATCCAATCTGACCAAAGACTGCAATTGCATAAAAATGCATGCATTGATGCTACGGAACTAAAAATTTAACTCGAATTTTATTGTTAGAATTAGATTTAGATCTACTGATTGTTTTTTACAATTGTTACAGATACTAGAAGTCTTTAGAATCTAAGAGTATGCAGGGTTTAAGTTTTGTGGCTTTATTGATTCTGGAATTGCTGTGATTCTGCCTGCTTTTCAATATATCCAATCAAAGCACTCAAACCCCACAATTTATCCACGTTGCATTAGTCAAATCCGCACTTTTAAACTAGGCTATGTTCCTTATTTTCTTGCAATTACTTTTGCCTTTTTGGTTTGTTTTTAAAATCTTCTAGCAGTAAAGGCTCTTTCCGATTACTTAGGTACCTTAGAAAAATCGGGTACCCTAACCGTGTAACGTGTATTTGATGTTTTACTTGATGTTGATGTTGACTTTTCATTCACCTGTACATTCACCGACGATTATCCATTCTTCAACCATGCGAGTGTATTTTTCTTCACTAAAATTTCTTCTTAACAAAACTGAAAGAAAAACTGAAATGAGATCCCCACTTAGAGCTGGATGCCATCCCCTTCCACCCTTCCATCTCATTCCCCATGATCCCCCCAGTGTCCCCTTTCCCATTCATCCACTCTCATTTACTCCCCACCAAAAATTCCTACTCGTTTTTCCCACCCCCACATTTCCACGTGCCAATTAACAAACTTAATCGATTAGCATAACTAAAAACTAGCTCACCAAGGCATAAACTCGTCTTCAAAACGCTTTGTTCTAATTATTAAATTCCGTGTTTCAATTATTTGACTTGGATTTTCGAAAGTAAAGCTTAATCGATTGTGCTTGCTTTCTAGATTTGGTATCAATTATTGTACTACATTTAAGTGTTTTTGCTCTTGACAATGGCCCAGAATTTCTATGTCTGGTACTGTACGTCTCAAGACCGATATGGGTATTGATGCACGGGCGTTTTAGAATGCACATTCTTGGATTTGTGCGGTATAACATATTGATGTAGTTAGAGGTTCCATAATATTGTATCCCATGTCACTAAACTATTTTACTACATTTTTAACCTATGCCAAAGGTGAATTTACAAAAAGAGAAAATTAACAAGTGCAGTTTTGGTCGAAAAGCTTCAAAGAAAGTGATCGGTATTTAAAATTACGCTTTTGTTTCTTTAGAAAATTTTGAATTTAGACTTTTCCAATGTTTGAACAAGAACAACAATACCAAATTTCTCAGAAAAGAAGATCTTCTTCTTCACAGAAAAGATGAGTTAAATGTTCAGAAAATTTATCAACAAAACCAACTCACCGAACCAGATAGTACAAAAGTGATACTCCCAAATTACTCACTCACCCGTTAATCTCCTCTCCTTTCACGATAACAGGAAAACTGACGAAGAGGAGGGATTCTATTTTGAAGTGATGTAAAAATTGAATCAAAAATCAAAACCATCGCATGGAAATGGGATTATCTTTTCGAACAATAGAAGAAACCCCAACGTTTTTTGGAGAATTTTTGATTTCCGGTTTACTACAATTCTTCAATTTCCCTCTCCTACCCCCATTTTGAGTCATTTTTGGGGCAAATATTTTTCTATTTTTTATAGTAATTGCTCTTGACAAACGGATACATTATTTGATACAGAGAATATAAAACAAACAGTCTTTTCATCATTCTTTTAAATCTTCTTTGGCCTACTAATCTCTGCTGTTATCCAAAGTGTGCACACAGTAAAGCTAGTTAGTTCTTGATCCATATACCACTTTTTTTTGTTTTAAACAGTTCTATGTCTTTTGTCAATTAAAATTTTAATCAATTTTCATAGTTTTCCATATTTTGGTTCACAAAATTCTATTTAGGCGATGCCCTTCTGAGTTTTTTCCTCAATGGATCCACCAACATGGAGTTTGCCGATGAGTCTGGAGTGATTCTTTTCTTCGATTCTGGGGTGAAATTCTCTATCAATTACATATCAATTACAACGACATAATTCTCAAATAAAGCTAAAGCACTTGTAAAAAATATAGTGTCAAAAAATGTGGGTTGCAAGTTTGTTGGCGTTAAAGTGTTTGGATGAGGTTTAGTCGGTTTCAATTTCTTCAATTAGTTTAACTCTAATTTGAACTATTAGTAATTTGTAAGCCAATTGTTTATTGTTAGTTGTTAAAGTAACTATTAGCAATTTAAGTTGTTTATTGTTATCGTTGCTAAAGTTAACTTTGTTAGTTCGCCCTTCTACTACTTCAATCAGTGCGGGCTGGCTAGACCATAGGATATATGTTTCAAAGTATACAACTTCAGCCAATACGGTCATCATAAAACTCTCTAAAAACTTGGGTAATCTAACCGAATGACATATCCAAAAATAGAGCAGTTTTCTTTCAAAATTAATAATGGATTCGAATTCCTCATCCTCGAAAACAGCTGATTGCAAATTTTCAGCTCAATCAGCCTCAAAAAAAGTGCTAAATTCACGTACGGCGTACGGTGAGCCGTATCTTTTTAATGTGTTTAATAAAACCGAAGCTTGAAATCGCAAAGTAAAGTGAAAAGCGTGGTAGAGAGTTTCAAAGTGTCTGTCTTTATTGGGGCCAAGCCAAGACCAATCTTTGGGCAGAGTGAGCACTTTAGAATTAAGAAAACATAACGTGATCTCCCCAAACCTTTCCATAAACCTACATAGAAATAGCATAGTACTCTTTATCTACACAAAAACTCTTTAGACGAAGACAAAGAGTGCTTTTCCCCTTGACTAAATGACTCTGCATGAAAGAGAATAAATGACCAGATAATAGGCTCAATCTTCTTTTTTTTCTCTTCTAAACTAGCCTCTCCGTAATTTTTCCCTATTTTTTTGTCTTTCCCACGCAAAATTTCTCTTACTTGATTTTTCTTGAGTTTTTCCAGAGAACAAAGAAAAAAATGGAGATTTTCTCAACTTTGAACATTCTTTTTGCCCAATTTTCTCCTGATCTTGTTACTTTGCTAAGGAATCAAAGCACAACTTTATAAGTAGCTGAAGATATTGACATTTTATAAAGTAATTTTTTATTTATAAGGATTTTACAAGGGCTGCGAGGACATTATTTTAGATTGCGTTACACACTTTGAAACAGGGGACTTTGACAGGGGACTTGTTGGAGAGCTTTTGACAGCTTTCGTCAAGCTTTGGCCTGTCAAACCAAATCAGTCAAAGGAAAGTTTAAAATCTTTCAAAAAAACTCTTTTGGTCCAGGTTTTGCCGAATTTTATTGCTTTTGAAAGAAATTTCATCTGAAAATATTTGGGTAGAAAGTATTTTTTGACTACTTCTGCTTATTTTGAAAGTGGATCATATATTTTGAAACGTGCATATTCCCAGCAAGTTCTTGGTTGTACAAATTTAGTTAAAGATTAAAATTGGAAAGTTTTTAAACACAATGTCTTTCTTTACCATTTCTATACAAGCAATGAATTTTTGTTTAGCAGCTTTCCCCTCCAAACCATTCCCCACATCCTTAAAAATTCAAACAGCGCAAAACCGAGGATAATAGCTCATTCATGTATTCAACGAGAAGCTAAAAGCAAAAAAAACACGTTCGCCTTCAAATTTTCTTCAGCGCTTTTTTCTCCTAGTTCCTAATTAAATCTCACTTTTTGGAGTTCATTTCGAGTTTTTACGAAAGTTTTTATTTGCCCACATTTTCTACTCAACTTTTTGAAAAGAATTTGAAATTAGGGAAGTCTTGGGAAATTCACGAAAAGCGGAAACTCAAAAATGACTGCAGTTTTTAGCTCCGCTTTTTAGTCGATACTACTTTAAACTACCCTGTTCTAAATTCTATTTAGATAGCTGGTCTAAAATTATAACAAGAATTTGCTAATATTTGTGTTGCCATCGACGAAGCGTCAATCCGTTGTGTACTCGTGTCACGAGCATTAACCTTATGCTGGATGTTGCGTGTTCTTGCTATGTTATGAGCGTTTTGGGGAAACCCGTTTAACCCTTTGTGCTACTCGGCTATTCTGAAACAAAATTATCCCCGATGATAAAGTTAAAGCGGGTCACATCCCGAACTATAAAGCCACATAAAGTATTGAAATTAAGTGTGCTAAAAGTCACTAGAACTACATAGATTGGAATCTAGCGTCAGAAACAGTAGTTTAGCAAATTGCTATCTTTTAGAAAAAACATAGCACCATATTCTAGTTTCAAGCTGAACCGGGCGATAAGAAAACAAAATTTTTAATGTCAGGGCCTTTTTGAGCAAATTTTAAGCAAGCATCTCTTTAAATTGTTAAAGAACACCGAATCCAGGTTACGGTAGTCTTTTGGTCGGGAATTGACCGGGTTGGCCAGTGGATAACCTATTCTAATATTTACTTTAGTATTACTTTACTGTTAACGTTCTTATGCATTTCCAAAGGGTAATTTAATATGATTAATGGAAGGAAAATCTTTGTTTCAACTTTGTCAGTTCCAATTAGCTCAAAGTTCATTCGCTCCTTTTTTTAAGCGCAAAGTGAAAATTCTCGAACTTACCGCTGATTCAGCTTTATCTTTCCACATTTTCAACCTTCCCGAACCGATAAATTTTGCATTAACCTTGACTCAGCCGATAATTGCTTTCTGAAAGAAAATGCGAACAAATTCCGGTCAACAACATTGTAGATCATAAATTTTGATTTCGGAAAAAACTCAAACCTTTTCAGCATTTCTTTCATTCATTAGGCGGATATCATTCACGAGGCGATTTTTTTCTTTTCAAAATCGAAGGGATGGATAATTGGATGTCCGGGAGTCTCGAATTCATCCACAAAAGAGAAAGAGCTCAAATTTTTTCCTTCTCCCCCACCCACAACACTTTTCTTTGGCATTTCATGTCGAGCTAGACTTGAAGACTTTAAAAAAAATTTCTTTCAAAATTTATTGCAAAACTTTGATTGATTTCTATACGACTAAAAATATTAGAATGGAAAAAGTAGCCGCCCAGAAGATCTAAAAATCATTAAATTTTGCTTTAACTCGGCCGAAATTTGAAAAAGTAACTTATTAAATTACTATTAGTGATGATTTGATCTTAGATTTTTTACATTGACATTGTCTACTCTTATTTTGATTACAATCTTTCAAATCCAAACAACAAAATTGACTACAAAACGGGTGGGTGAACGTCAGATTTGCTCAGGAAACGTAGAGATTAGCACAGCAAAATAACTGACTAATCATGGAAAATCCCGAATCAAAGATCGGATTAAATTTACTGAATAACTCATTGAGAGTGGGAATGCACTAAATTGAGCCTCTAAATATTGAATTTTGAAGTTTTGTAAGATTTCTCGAGGTTTTGTTATCTCAAGGTTGCAAAACTATTAGGCTGCCCAGAAAGTCAAAGATCAAAGAGCAACGGGAAAGAGAAAGCCTATTATATCTTCATTTTATCGTATGTTGCAGGAGATAATGACTGTGTATTTTCACTCTAGGACGGCACGTATTACGATTAACTCCAAAAAAAGGCCTTATTATCTTATTATTCTCCAGTCAGATATTCTTTTCCTTAGTTTGCACCCGTTTTTAGCCTTGCTTGTGAAATTCGGTTTAAAATAAAAGAAACCCAATAAACTGGATTGACATTGACTATTTTGAAACTCATTAGTCTGTTCTGCTGGCCTTTTGGCTATCTCTGCTGTAGGTAGGTCGACTCGAATCTAGCGCAAAAGCCTGTTGTTAAGACTTACAGTACCTTCAGCAACAATATTCGTCTTGTTTTAAATTTCAATGATCCGAACTTGTTTGCAAGCAATTCTATAGTCAAACCTCACCCAATCACCCTCAATTCCCACACTCAATGACGCCAAATTTCCCAAAAATAGTCCATTGAGCTCAAAATTCATCATGTTTCTCCCAAAAATGGCTCCAACTATTCTATTTTTTTCTATCCTTAATTTGCTTTGAATTTTGATCCATCAATTCGCGCAAAAATTTGAAAGAATTTCTCTTCTCCCCCTCCTTTTTCCGTTCATTTCATTTCCCGACAACCCATCATCAAGTCTTCCCATTTTCTTTATCTTTTTTGTCTATTCACTTCATCCATCCATGTCTTTTTTTTCTTTTGAAACTTTGTGAATTATTCTATTCATTCGAAACTAGAGGGAAAATTAGTAACCACAGGAGCCACGGCTTTTTTTCTTGGTGAAAATGCTAGTGACTTCCGCTTAGTTAAAAATTTCTATCTGAATCGTTTTAGAGCCCTTTTTGTGGTAACTAGTAAAATTCATGCTTCATGTTGAGAAAATTCATGCCGGGCGCTCCACTTTTTGATTCACTTGCTGATTTGTGCGTGTGATATGTTTAAGCGTTAGATAGATTATAAAAATAAATCAAAAAAGCTTTAAAAAATCTCTCACAAGCTGTTAAAAGCTATCCTATAATCGTGTAAATCAGCAACTAAATCAACAAAGTGGAGCGTAACTTCTAGAAAAAATTCCACGTACCTTAGTAATATTTTAGAAAAAGTGAAAGGTAACTGCGCATGAATTCTCTCGGCATGAATTTTCTGGAGCACGTCGAGCACGGCATAAAGGCATGAATTTTACTATTTGCCCTTTTTTGTTGCTTGCTTGATTTTTTACTTCTCATCTGGACTACAGGATTATTGTCGAAAGACTGAGTCAAACCACGCTTGCCTTAAAACTTATCTTTGAAAATTTCAGTCAAACCAAACCAAAAACTACGAGTAAGCTTTCGTATAAGCTTTGTTATACGAAAACTAGCTTGAGAGAACTTGCTTGGGTCATCCTAAATTTTAAACTATCAAATGCTATTTTTACAGGCTAATTGCCTTTTTTGGTACATTTTCAAATGTATTTGAGCTCTTTTCAAAATTGCAGTCAACGAATCATTTTTGAGATTAACTCCTGGGTTTTCAACTTGTCTCGGCAATGATACAAAGTTTTCCCCTCGATCTACACTCTATTGGTCACAAAAAGGCTGACCTGGATCCTTCATTATGAAATTTTGAAATGCGATTTCCCTGAAAACCAAAGTCAACTTTTTTGGGCATTGTTTTTGATTTCAAATGTACTCGCCTGAGTCCATTCCAAGCCTTTTAATCAACGAAAGTTTAGCCTTTTTCCATCTCAACTTTTTGCCTATTTTTCTACTCATTATCCAAGCTTCTTGTACTTTTGACTCACACCGTTTTTGCTAAATTAAAAAACTCCCACGAAACTTCCGCTTTTTCCAGCAATTGATTAAAAAAATTCTCAGGGAGATCAATGTTCTGACAAGTTTTTAGTACAATAGTATTTCTTGGTATTCTATTTTTGAAGTAAGCCACGCAGATTTTTCCTGTTTCACAATTTTGTACTTATTTCTGTTTGTCTTAGCCCAACTTTCTAGTATTCACTCAATTTGATGGACTACGATGAATATGAACGGTTTTTGGTGGGTTTTCAAGGGGAATTTTCGGTCTTCTTTGAAAAGTCGATGTTGGGAAGTTTGGAAAGCTGGCTGGCTTGAACTAACAAAGTTCTGATTTTCTAAAAACAACAAATGCACCAGAAAGGATGCATTGGCATTGACCCAAAGTACAGTTCATAATCCGGCACTTGCCTGAGTCATAGTCAGGAAGTCACAGTCAGGCTCAAGTGTTCTGGATCAATAGTCAGGACTAGCTTGATAGTTCCATTGCTGAAAGCTTGATAGGTTCACCGCTCAATATCTCAAAGCCCGTTTGGTAGGACTTACTATGACCTAAAACGTTCTTTGTGAAGCATTTTAAAACTCCATTTTTTCAGGCGGCTTGTGAGGCGGAATGTGCGGTGTGGATCTCTCGTTGTGTTTCCTCAATCCATCCACCTGGTTACGTCTGCCAACTGAATATCGTCGTTTTTCTGGCCGTCATTTTCCTGGCTGTTTTTACGGGTTTGTCTTACAATAGTTACTAGGCAACTATTTTTTAAAGAACTACAAAAATAACAAGGGAAAAGCACCGGGTCAAGCTGGCCTTTAGAGAAGCGTGTGACGACCTCATAAAGAGCTCGAAATTCAAGATGGGTTTCTTTGCTAAATATCCCGCGTTTGAGAAGCGTTCTGCAAAAGATCCCATGGCCGGATTCGAGATCCCATGACCGACTCTGTAAGATTCGACTGACCGACCATGGCCGACTCGACTCTGTCTCGAAAAGTCAGCTTGACTCAGTGCCTTCCCCTTGTCAGCAATAAAAAACAATGTTTCACTTTATTCCTCATTCGTAGTTTTACTAATCGTTTAATAATTCGACCTCTAAAATAATTTAACTTACAATTCAAATAACTAGGTTTAAATATTATTCGAATTAAATCTTTTAGCTTAACATTTAATTCAAACAAACAATTTCAAATTCAACTCAAAAACGATTCAACCGATTCAACTCAAAACCAAAACAATCAAGTTTCAATACTACTGGGATCAGTTAGAATTTTAGATACTTAATTATTCAAAGAATTTTTTCAGGCGTTCTCATCCCGATCTCTTGCCTCTTCTGCTTTATTTTCGGAATCCCGAAGAAAATGCGACGAATTTTGTGGCGAGACCGAAACGATTCGGATGAGGAATCGGCTAAACTTCATCCGAATCGAAGTGGATTTCTATGTGAATTTTACGCGGCACTCTTTTCATTTCTTCTTTCCAAATCGACTAACTCAAAAGTTTACATTCATGCATGAACATTGGAATAAGAATAAGCACTATGGGGCTATGGAATATTGATTAGGGCGGTCATGCTCACAAAGGTTCAATTTTGAAACATAGGAAAATTCATTGCACTTAAGTTCAAAAATCTCCCCGATTGTACCAAAATTGGAATGAATCTCTGTCTGAAATTGAAGTTTGGCTACACTTTTCGCTTTAGTGCAACGTAATGAGAGGCAAATACTTTATTTTTCAAATCGGGCTTTTTGAACATGATTGCATGAGTCAATTTTGAACTGATGGGGCAAAACCTGTTGATAAATCAATCTAGAATTACAATAAGCACATTGCTTGCAAAAAAGAGTATCCCTTTGCATTCCTTTGACAATTTTCTTTACTCTAAATGCACTATCAACCAATCAAAACTTTAAGTTCAACTTTAAAACTTCTGGACGACTGAAACAAGTACTTCTTGTTAACTTCTCGACTAACTAACTAACTTCTCGAACCCATTCTAGCACAAAAATGAACATACTTACCTGAACTTTTTATATTTAAACATTTCAGCCCTTCCTCCAGTGATCTCCGACAGTGACACACCAACTCCAATTGTTATTGTTCCGAGGATACGAAAGAGTGAACATTCAATACCACTGCATACACCAAAAAGATATCAGGTAAAGAAGAAAAAGTTTACGTATAGACTAGCTTAAGGATAAAGTTCAGGATTAAATAAAGATATATGTAGTCAAAGTAAGAAAACAGAATTGGGCAACGAGTTCAGTTCTAATGAGTACATGAATTGGCTAATTAATCAATGCTTGTCACAGAAAACCGTCCAAGTTGAAACAAAAGAATTTTTGGTACTTGTGGGGTTGGGAAAAGCAACTTTTTCTCTTCAAAAGTGCTTTTTCAAAGGGCATTTTTTGGCTTAGATTACGAATTTCATAGTGACAGCTTGAGAAAATGCGTCTTAGAGCGACTTTTAGAGGCTTGAAGTCGCTGTCTCCATTGTGTACTTCACTGTAAGGTTCCTATACGAAGGACTTAAAAGGAGCTTAATGAGCTTTTTCCTGTCCAAAAAACTTTTGCGAAATTTTCATTTTTGCTTTTTAAGGTCTAATTTTGCTATTTTCTTGCTCTGGACACTTAATTAACTCAAAGAAAGTGTTTTTGCATTTTGAAAAAAATCTCCGAGGCCTTAGATGGGCTCTAGAGCCCATCTAAGGCCTCGGAGAGTATTCGAGACGAGACAAGACGAGCTCTCCTTATTCAAGTCCGCAGTGAAGTACACTGTAGAGGCAGTGATTTCGGATCCCGAGCTCCCACTATGAAATTCGTGATCTACGCAAAAAATGCCCCAGAAAAAGCATTCTTGAAGAAAAGTGGCTCCCCCAACCCCGGAAGTACCGAATTTTTAAGCGGAATAAATTGCCTTATGCTTTATGGCTCTTTAGAAAACAAATTAACAAATTGTTAATGCATAGTCAATGACAACCAAATAAACCAAATGAGAAGGAATAAATTAGAGATTTGGCACTGTGAAAGTTGAAACAAATGACTTGTAGGCGATCTAAAATCCTTTTTCAAGAAGCTAAAGACTCTTTAAAGGTTCAATTTAACAAATCGTAAAAATTGTCAATGTCTGACCAATGAATTGGCTCATTTACCCAACTTGTAGAAACGAATTCACTGGAAATCGGCTGGATCCATCTCTTAGCAGAAGTGAAAGAAAAAAATGGGTCCTTTGTTATCATTTTTTTTTGTTTTGTGAATAATTCTGTGCCATTTTGTTTTCGAATACGGGTTGATTACTGCTACAACGATCTCTTTGAAATGTTTTTCTGATGATTGAATAAAAAGATTCTAACCATTGAATGGAGGAGCTTGCCGTTTGGTAATTTGAAACATTTAGACATACAAAAGCCAAGTTCGGAATTGTTTTATCTTTTAAAAATCTGATAAAGTTCGTAAAATTATAATGGACTTTTGTAATTTTCGAGTTTTGATAGAAATCTTTGAAATTGGAATTTGATGTGTTTTATGTGATTACTACATTGGTAAAATTCAAAACGATAGAAATAGTTTGAAACTTTGACATTTAATTCACGATCACAAGTGCTAAATTTTAAAAAATACCATGTGAAGTTTCATGACAGAATTAAAAATGGTCAATGGCTCAAATTTTAAACCTGCTCTAGAAATTATTGGAATTGAAGTGGGCACTGGAGATCAATTGAATAGAAAACTTTGTATCTGGTATCGACGTGTTCGAAAACTCCAACTTTTCATTTGTATCCAGCAATTGGAACTAGGGCAGATCAAAAACTTGTGAGCCACCGGGGCTCGAACCCGCGACCTTTCGCTTACCGGGCAACTGTGCTAATCGTTACACCACAACACACTTGATCTTCGCTACTCCAGAGGGAGTTAACTGAGCAATTTCAGTAAGCTTTTTGGTTGGTTTCAACGACACAAAAACTAAACAGCACACATTGCATTTCAGTAAAACGATAACCATTTTTATTTTTTTTATTTCGAGGAATCCCACTCGTTTTTCTTCCGTAAAAAGTCACGTAAAAGCTTTGATCATTTCGAACCAAAAACATGAACGACCCTTATCATTTGTGTTTGCGTCCAAAAATGGGCAAAAAATTTGCAACTCCATCATTTTTTTTCTTTGTTTTCCTCCCCAATTTTTTGGAACAATCAGATAGAGTTTAGCCGTCACTTCTTGATTGTTTTCGCTTCGTGAGTTTCAAAACTTTTCTAGTTCTCTAGATTAGTTGGCCATGATTCGATTGCACTAAAAAAAGCAAGTCAAGCTCATTTTTGCAAGTTTTACAATTTATTGTTGGTAAACTTTGAAAGTCGTGTAACTTTTTAAAAAAATTTATTAGTTACAACTTTTTTTGATTAATTTCTTCCTTCCTAAATCAATTTGATGTTTCAAATGCGTCTTTCAAATCAAAAACCTGACAAATATCCAGTGAGATTCTATCTATTAACAAAAACTGTACATTTCTCGACATTATAAACAAAAATTAATGCAAGTTTGACTCAATAGCCAGCTTTTTTTCTATCTCTCTGTTTCTTTTGAATAAACCAAGCCAGTTTTTTAGAATTTTAAAAGTTGACGGTTACAAGTTACGTTTAAACTTCAATTGTTCAACTATAAATTTTGCATTTCTTTTACTAAAATCCAAAGTTTGATTTTAGAATCAAATTGACCACGAAACGTGCAAAGTATGCGCAGAATGGTGAGAAATGTTTCAGGTAAACACATTTATCGCCCTGAACCATTTGGAGATAACAGTTTGGAGAGTTTGGACTTCAGAAAAGGGGAATTTTTGGCAAACAGAAGTTTTTAGTAATTTTGAAGGGATAGAAGAAAGCAAAGTGATTCCAGATTTTACTTGTTTTTGCAATAAATGAATATGGAATTTGGAATTTGACTGAATGCAAATAACGATTTCAAGTTTATTAAGTACTGGCTGCTTGTTGAATGATTAATTCTTTGTCTAAAGAAGCTTTTTCTAAAGTAAATAAATAACGTTACTTCCAGTAAAGTGAATATTAGTTGTTGAATAAAAATATCAGTTTCACGTTAGGAAATACTGATGTTTAGGAAATACTGATGATTTATTGGCTTGCGAATTCCTCTAAGCAAAAGTTGGAAAAAACTCACCTATGTCGGAGACTGAAAGTTATTGTAACGTTTAGCCGAGATCTTCTCAAAACGGATTTATTACTGCCAGAAATGTCTCAATCACGAGAAGAAAGTGGCAAGGAAAAATCACAAATGTCAATGTCCGTTCATCGATTGCAGTTGTGAAAAGTAAGACACGTTGAAAGTGGTAACTTCAAGTTTCAATATTTTCCAGTAGCAACTTGAGTTTCCAACTCAAGTAGATCAATATCTAGGTATAAAGAGGCAAGTATTGGGTTGGGGAGAATGAGTCAGCGTCGAAAATCAAAAAAATGTCTAAAACTTCTAGCAGACTTCGTCAAATAATATGCGTTTGATATCAGTAGAATGGTTAACTAATTCTCTACAAAATGACATTTAAAAGAAAATTCAAACAGCGCCTCCGCTCAAGAAAAAACCATTTTTTCACAAAAACTACAAACTGTCATCTAGAAAAAACCATTGGTGGGATCTTCCTGCAAATTTGGCAACTTAAGTAATTGAATGTGCTCTATCTTTTTTATATAAACACCAAAGAAGGTTTATGTGAAAGAAACTGTTCAAATGATGAGTCGGACTCTTTGCCATTTTAACCAGCTGCGTTTGGAAGTTCATAAACTCCACGAAAGAAAAGCTTTGTGGAATCTCTCAAAAGTCATTTTGTAGAGAAATAGTGGATCCTTTTGATGAAACCAAACGTATGTTTAAAGAAGGCTTTATGTGTGCAAAAAGTCCCTTTAAAGTTTGGCGCCGACTCATTCTCCCCAACCCAATAGTAAAACTCATGCTTCATACCGAGAAAATTCATGTCATGCTCGGCGCGCTCCAGAAAATTCATGCTCCCCCTTTAACCTTTAACTTCTTCTAAAAAATTACAAGGTGTACATACGTGTAATTTTTTCCAGAAGTTGCGCTCTACTTTTTTAGTTTACTTGCTGAATTTTACTAGTTGCCGTATAAAATAAAAATTTGTTTTAATCGAATTTTTTTTCAGATGTTACTTGGTGGAGAAGCGGCGCTTTTTGAACGCTCAATTGCATGAGTTGGAAGAAATCTCGTACCAAGAGACGAATGTTGCAACGGAAGATCAAATCGAGTCGAAAAACTTGAAGCCAACATTTCTCATATCAGCTTGTCGAGGGAAAGGAGGTTGGGATCTAGATGGGAAGTGTGTTAGCGTGAAGATTATCAAATTACCGTATTTTCTGTAATAGTAGTGCAATCTATACTAGTAGTGCAGGCTGGAGGGGGGTTGAAAAAATAGTAGTGCGCACTACTATTACAGAAAATAAGATACTCACAGGAATCATTTGCTATGGTGTACATCTAATTAAAAAATTTCATACAAAAAACTTGCTTAAACGGATCGAAGAAAAACTGAATAAGCAATCCAGAATTGTTGTCAAATTTGAAACCTCCAAAACAAATGTATGAGTTTCAATTTGAAGGAAATTTAAACAAATATCACAAATTTAATCATCTTCTTTTGGTTCTTTCCCAATCTTAATAATCTTAATTTTTTAAAAACGTGATTTTCATTTAAAATTACAAACTAAAATCAGTAAGTGAGTTTGAAATTTGAAAGATTTTGTAACTGCTTAAAACTGGCTCTGATCGACAACTCGAACTTTGTAAATCCTGCAAAGTTATGTCAAATCCATCACACTATAGTCAAGTATATTTCTTGTAAATGCCCCACTTTTGCAACACAGTCAAATCCCTCATATCTTCTTGCTCATTTTCTTTCTGGACGAAAGCCAAACTCTCCTAGCTGACCAATAATAATCTCTTTTTCGTACAAGGAAAATCTTTCAGCTTTTCCCTTTTCTCAAGAAATATTGAGAAACTCTTGCCCACTAATTAGTTTGAAAGAAAAAGAGTTCTCTTCTCTTTGTACAAATCTCTGTATTGGGAGGATTTGTCTACATTTTGAATAGGAGGAATCGGTGGAAAGTTTGAATCAGAAATCTGTATAGATCGGGAAAAGTAAAGTTGCGAATTTGAATAGGTGAATGAGTAATGGGTTTATTTTAGTATTAAGAGAATACAATGGATATCTAGATTATTTGGACTAGGTACTCGTCACATTACATTTAGATGCACGAAGTCCCACTGGCTTAAAGTTGAACCAAAACTTTATTAGCTTCAAGGCAGGCGAGAGTAAAATGTTTTCTGTGCTCATATTGACTGAAACAGTTTTCTAAAACGGGTCAATTTTTGAAAAAATCTACTTTTGAATTTTGTAAAGGTATCACTGATATCAAAAGGTACAAAAATAAGAGAGATTGGGAGATAAGATTACGGTAGAAAGAGAAAGGAAGTGTACAGAAAATTAAGTCAACGTTTTTACCCAAGCAAATAGGTAGGTTTCATTTGGATGGACCACTGATCACTCTGAAAATTACTAATGACTTTGAATGACCTTGTTTCCAGAAAATACCATGAGATTCTCAATCTCAAGGGATTGAGTTCTCTACAGAGTTTTGAAACTCCCTTCACCCCATTTTTGCATCTCAAACTTTACAACCTTGACTACAATGTGAAAGAAATAGTGTCTTTCTTACTGGAGAACTCCTTCTTTTCTTTCGCAAAAATTGTTGCCGTATTTCAAAAACACTTCTCCTAGTTGCAAGAGGCACTGGGAAGGGAAATTTTTCGATTTCCATGTTTCAAAAGAGCTGGGTGGAAAGCCCACAAAGGACTCTGGGCCCCCAGTGTAGGCGTGGCCTATGACCACTCCCTGGTCCCCCGAACATTCGCCAAGAGAAAAACAAGCCCCCTTCACGAGAAAAAGCAGAATTTATTTTTGGAAATCTACTGCCTAATTTTGGATCTGAGCTCCATTTCCCATTTTCTTCCTAAAAAGCATGGCAACTCTCGTCTATTCCCCGGCTGATCTGAGCCGCCAAATCGAGCGCAACATCTCAGTGATCAAGAGCGTCTTCGAGCCCGATCACGTCAGCTATACGAGTGAGTTTTCAGTGTTGGGTAATTGAACTAATTTCAGCTGTACATTTCGATCATTTCTTTAGTTTTTGTGAACCCAGTTTGCTTCGATTTGAAAACCAATTTCGATTTACGATTAATTTTTCCCCAAGAGTCATCTTCGCCATGTTTTTTTTCTGATTTCATCAATCAAAAAAATATTTCCGAAGCCTGCGAAACGATTGTTTAAAAAAATAGTTAAAAAGCAAAAAAATCTTTGAGCATTAAAATTAGCTAGCTACTTTACTCCATCCGAATTTTGGAACACACTTTTTTTCAGCAATCTTGCCCTGCATTGATCAATTTACTGTAGCTTAAAACCATTTTTACAGTAGTGAAATATTTGCATACTAAACTCTGTTACAAAAAAGGTTAATTCATAAAAAGCTTTTCTATAAATTTCCTATAAATCTTGAAATGCAACCTTGTCCCTGACTTTCTTTTATTTGTTGTCTTGCAAAGTGAACTGATGGAATTCTTGGCCTTTCCAATTACAATACTACTATTACAGTATTCTGATAACTCTTAATTAGATAATAACTTGAGAAAAATCACTATAGTGCCTATTTCTTACTGTAGTCTAAACATTTTCCACCAACAACAGCCAACTTTGCATCAACAAGACTGACCTGTCTTTCTAAACCTTGTAGCCTTTTCATTTTCAGGAATTACCCCTTTCTACAGTACCCAATCTTCATCGAAAATCCTTCACCAAAGCCTTTTCAAATGTAAAGAGCTCAGAAGTGAGCAACCCACGAGATTTATAGACTCGAGGGATAAATAAGGTTGTTGTCAGAGATCTCTTCAAAGAGGTTATGTTTCAAGAAAACTTTTCGTGAGTATTTTTCATTTCAGCAATGTCCTTTTGTTTGTCAAAGTGTCTAGAAAAGAAAAAGCCACAAGAAAAAAAAGATTGTTTTCGGGGTCGTCGAAATATTTTCTCGGGATCTCTCCTCGGGGCGGCTTTTTGACGGCTCTTCCCTCTCTCTTTCTGATCACTAAAAGCCCCCCCGACGTTTCACGTAAACACTACAACAAAAAGGACACACTCGAAATTTATACCGTGATCTCGTGTTTTTCCTCGCTTTCCAGGAAAAATTCATTAATCTTTGAGCCAAACTTTGTTTTGCGAGTGGATTCGAGCACTATTTCTGGGAGAAGGGAACGGAAATAACTTGTACAACCTTTAAATAGCTGAAAGAAGACATTAGGTTATTTTAAGCTCAAGTTCTAGTTCTAACTATTAGAAAAGCGAAGACAAATTTGAAAATTTGAAAATTCACATTATCTGTTTATTATTTTTGGGTTTTTTAGGTACAAACCTTGCATCTGGCCAGGGAAAAATGAGCGGCGGCCTAGGCTTTATTTTGATTAGTTTCAAATCAAGCGGTATCATAGTCACTGGATATTTTCGAATTTTGGGTCATATAGTATTCCCCTTCAAAATTTGATTTAAACCTCAACTGTTTTATCAGAAAGGCTAAAAACTTAAACATTTTATACTTTTTAAGAAATGAAAATCAAGTGTGGATTCTTTTATATTATAGCTATCAGGATCTAGTTGCTCAAAACTGTAGCTGTACGAGTTGAACGTTCAGCCATTGAAAAACTTGCAGCTACTATACTACAGCATTCTGGATTAGACTACGATTTGTCTTTTGTCATACTACGGTATTCTGAATTAGACTGTGATTTGAGGTGAATATCTTTCATATTCTGCAAAGAAAGTCAAGTATTCAATTTTGACACCTGAGTACTTTTATTTTAGCATACTGTAGTAAGACTATGAGCCTTTACTTATTACAGTGTACATAGTCTGCTCGAATCACTGTCGATCTGTGAATGTTAGGGAAATTTCGCATTCAAAACCACCAAACCTGTACTAATCCCAAAAAGGCCATCATTGTTTTCATCTACAGATTTAGCCCACGAAAATCTTTTTCAAAATCAAATCCCATTCAACTCTCAAGAAAAAACACAGACACGTCTTTGCGAAAACAAAAGAAAAGTAATATTCAAAGAAAGTATAGATTTCTAAGAAAAACTGACCCTGATTAGGCTATATTAGTGTGTTTTCAGAGCGAATCCCGAATTGTCAGAAATGCGGTCAACACGGCCGAAAGAATCGTTTGAAGGGACACAAAAGGGTTTGCCCTTTCAAGGATTGCACTTGTCCAAAGGTAGGCTTTAACAATAAGATATTTCTGATAGAGCTACAGTAGTCTACAAGCAAAATCGATACTGTAGGATGCATTTTAGCAAACACCTTTTGTTTTCTAAAGTCTTCAAACTGTTCTTTATTCATGCTTTATAAAGGCAAAGGTGCTTGTAAAAATGCAGAAGTTGTCCATGTCTACAGTAGACAACAATATTGGTGAAACATTTTATTTTGCACTGAACAAAATCTAATGGCATGCAATAAGACCAGAAGAAATTATTGGATCCTTTCCTGAATACCCTTTCCATTCATCAAAAACTGCGTCACGTTGTTTTCCTTTCCCCGCTAACAAAAGTAGACGAGTGAGTTCAAACATATTCAAATATTGACTACTTTAATCTCTAAACTCTTGATGATTTCTCCCTCCCATTTTCCCATTTTTCATTTATCCATAAAAGTTCACCTAATTTACTCGGTCTCTTGTGTGTGAATGTGAAAAACAAGCCCTGTTTTTCGCCGTTTTTCTTTGAAACTCGTCTTTTCTCCTCTTTCAGCCTATAGATGGCCTCGAGGGGCTATTTCTGGATGTTTCCCCCTTTTCACCCCCCGCCATTTTACTTATTCTCGATCCATTCGGGGACTTCACCTCTCCCCTCATAAACATGAGAATTCAGCAGGGAAAATATAGATCTTTTGAAAGTATTCAATCAAGTGAGAGACACAACGGTAACACCTCAAAGACGAATAACAAAAATATGTTGATTTGGAGACATTTTACTTCGGTGATGAGTTCAATGAAACTCTTTTGCCAAGTAAAGAGATGACAAGAGCAACTGGCTAATTTTTGTAGATCCATGAATTGTGAGGCAACTTGACTGCTGAGGTTAAAATCTAAAGCCAAGATTTTGGGAAAAGACACTGGGCTTTCCACGTTGAAAGCCCAAAGCTGAACATTGAACTATGACTTAATGACGTTTATTTTGGGAAGTTATCAAAAGCTGTTAAAACGTGATGCACGTATATTGCTTTTATTTAAATTTACAAAAGACTTATTAAAATCAAAAAGTACCAGTCAACAAGGGGAAATGACCGTAAACAGCTTGCAAAACAAATCCGCTTTAGCCATCATCCTTTTTTCTCGTGTCTTCATTTAGAACCACTTGTAATCAGCTGAGATACTATATAACAGGGTGTAGAAAGACTACGAAATAGCTTTTAAAAAAAATTGGAAATTGAAATTGGAAAAACCCAAGAGATATTACTTTGGCAAAAGCGAAAAAGGTGAACGATACTTTGAAACTTGAAAGTTAACATTTACATGAAACAAACCGACAAGCTAAAAGCCGAAACAAACCGATAAAGCCAATTTTCAGTGCCAAGTCGTGTCCGAACGACAAAGGTTGATGGCTGATCAGATCAAGATTCGACGACGTCAAAGAAAAGACACAATTATTAGGTGAGCCAAGCGTTTCGAGTAAGAGGTTTCAACCTACACGACATCAAAGAGCAATTAACTTCGTTAAAAGTTAAAGTTATTGGGCTTGTCAAAAGTTATTAGGCTGTCCAGAAAGTCTTTTCGTTTCTTTTCGTACTTCCGTTGAAAAATAACAAATTCACTGTTTAAACTATGGTTTGCTCTAAATAAAAAGTGTTCCAGACACTAGACATTTTAAACCCGTTTTAATGTTATTTTGCAAAAAAATAATTGACCTTTCTAATGAAACAAACCGTTCAATTGGTGAATTTGTTATTTTTCAAAGGAAGAACGAAAAGTAACGAAAAGACTTTCTGGACAGCCTATTAGTTTTCTATCAGTACCAAATCAGTACCAAATTCAATCCTAAATTTCAGTCTCACTCGTGAAAGCATCTCGGCAACCCTCTCCGCTTTGGGACAACTTCCAAATGGGAATGTGAACAATTTGATTTGTGAGTTTTTGAAGAAAAGTCTAGCGGTCTAGATTAGCTATAAAAATTTTCAAATTATGATTTTAAAAAGTTGATTTGTTTAACTGAACTGAAATATTTTTCTCCCAGAAATTGATTTCATTCGAAATTTACTTGAGAGTTATCAAGTTTCCTTAGCGATAACCGATTTGTTTTGGTGCTACGTGAAATTGAAACTCAAAATTTTTGACAAAACAAAACAACAGTCATCCACATGCTTTGACAAGCCAAATTAGCTTCATCATTCTACTACCAAAATCGTACATTGGGCTAAAAATTATCCACATTGACCTTAACAATGACAAGCAAGCCAAAAATACCTTCACTAAAATTGATAATTATCTTCTTGACCTTCTCAAATTTTTCCTTGAAACATGTCGAAATCCTTCATTAAACCTCATTCTTTGAGAGGATCAACTGGAGGGTTTCTGCCAAAGAAAAACATGTTTCTATGTTGTGAAGAAGAAAAAGAAGTCCACTTCTCACCCATTCATTTCCCTTTTTCTTTTTTTCTCTTTTCTTTTAAGTAGGCCACATTGGGCAACATGTTTACGAGGTCTGTCTCTGTCATATTTTTGTCTTCTTTTCTCCTTTCTCTTCATCTTCTTTAAGTTGAACTAGAAGTAGACGAAAATATGGAAAATCCGCTGATCTCTGGGAAATCTCTCAAATGTTTTCGCGAGGTTTTGACGGAGCTTGCTTTCTTGTATCCAAATTGGTTGAAGATGAATAGAATGTAGACATAATGAAAGGGTCTTTAGAAATGAATGCGACTAACAAAAAGTATGTGTAAGTACGCATTGAACGATTAAAAAGTACAGCTATTTTAGCGTATTGAAACTTTTGTGCCATAATTTGGCAGTCGCTTACCTACTGTAGCTCAAGCTGTACATAGTACTGAGACTTACAGTATGCTTAGCCACTTTTCCAACAAAACGTCTGAAAAAAGCATTACAAAGGACGGGAAACTTCGGCAATCAGTACAAGACTTACCCACAATACAGTGTCTCATCGTTCAACAGTAGGCAGTACTGTAGCACCATTCTCTTAACTCATTTCCGTATTCTAAAAGAAGTATTCAGTCTTGAGCACTTTTCAAAATCAAGATATTCATCTTGTACCCGGATTGTTGTTCATTCGGCATACTGTAATGAGACATGAAGTCGAGACTACAGTACTTTAAATGGAAAATTTTCCAATTAGGAAAATGAGTGTTTTAAAAATTTCCCTTTCGGGGAGTTTAGTTTGAAGAATGCTGAAGCTTTGAAAAGTTTAATTTCGACGTGGTGATCAAATTCCAAAACGTCAAATTGAAATTTCCGACGAAAATCAAGACTTACAATAAAATCAAAATTTGTGATAAGAAATTCTATCTAAAAATGAATTTCAAATGTTTTAAAGTCTTATTTTCAATATTTAGACAACAAATTAAAGCCATCGGTCGGCTCAACGGACAGCCAAGAGTCGATGACCGACCCCGTCCTCCCAAAGGCTTATTCCCCTCCGATCGCCCCAATTCTTACCCCGACCACCGCCGATATCTCATCGTTGATCATGAGGTGATTAAAAAATTCCATTTATTCACACAATCACGATTATCTATCAGAAGTAGCTAAATTTGAAAGAAAGCGAGACAAACAATAGTTTGGTTAAATGTTCTATGAATCAAATTCCCCAAAAACTTTTTTCTTTAGCACCGCGACAACCATCCCCTCAACACTTCCAATTCAAGAAATCTCAAAAACGACTTCAATGTTGGACCCGCTTCTTTTGCCATTAGCTGCACCAATTGAACCGATCACAACAATGTCAAGTAGTGAGTTTTTGGACCTTCAGAGATTTCCAACCTATTTACCTTGTGCATTAACTTGATCTCAATAAATCAGTTTTGTTACAATCACTTTTTCAGTTCTGCCAACGAGCCCAGTAACCACACCAACTTTTGGTTTCTCAGATACATTAGGTAACTTTTTGATCTTTCAAAACTATTCCCAATCCTCCCCATTTCAGCCATGCTCTCCTCATTGTCTCTCCCCTTGACTTCACCCAATTCGACGACAAATTCCTCATTCCAATTCCCCCAAATGCTTTCCAATGAGCAACTCCTTCAACAAATCCTTCTTAGCTATCAATTCTTGGCACAAGAAACGATTGGGAATTCGGAGAAACACGGCGGAATTGATGGAAAGGTAAGGATCACTAGAAACATTTTTGATATCACAAAAAACTCATTTCAAACTTTGCAGGCTGCCATCCGCGAAGCCAACAACAAGAACTCGATCATCGACATTTGTTCGGTTTAGATTTGTGTCAATTCTTGAAACTTGTATATTTTTATCGTTTTACGGACTGCTTGTTCTTTCAATGAAACTTTTTGACTCATTTACCTTTCAAAAACCCTTTCAACTGAGACTGAACTTTGAGCTACCTCGAGCAGTAACCAATCATTTGAACATTTTAAACCATTTTCGAATTATCGTTTGTTCCAAAGTTTGTTTCATTTTTAAGAATTCAGTCTCAATCCAATTCGTTTTGTTACCCACTTTTTAGTTATCATTTCAGTTATCATTTCGTGGTCAAATTTGTGATTCCCCCCAATTAAGTCTCTCTTTCTTTCAAAGAAAACGAATCGAATCTCGACTACTTGTATAAAATGTGGATAAAATGTTTCGGTTTCAAAAGAAATACGCTTAAGAAAACGCTTTCCAATTGATTTAGGTAGTCTTTTAACGAACAGAAGAAATTCGAATACTTCAAAACCCCTTGCTAAATCTAGAAAAGCCCGTACAGACGGACGGACGGACACTGCTTTTATATATAGTAGATGTCATTGTAATATCTTCTACTGAATATCTTTGTCATGTTCTGATATTCAGAAGTGCTTGCTAATTGCTAATTGTAAAAGAAGTAGAACTGTTTGAACAGCAATCCTTTCTTACTGTCTAGTAGGGCTAATGAATAGAAAAGTTTGCTCTCAAAAATTACTATGATTTTGTCAACTAGCTGGGATGTCAGATATCAAGGTATGTCATTCACCAATCCTAGTTATAGAATCACTAAAAAGTTTGGTGTTCTGTGCGATATTAAAAGGATCCGTAGATCCAAAAAACGGTTTACGGTAGGGTTTACTCTCTGTCTAATCTAATATTAAGATTCTCCAGAATCAGAATCATTGCTTCTTTCCGCATTGCTTTTTTCAGCTTTCATAAAAATATTCTTTATTCTGCCAATGACTATTATTCACTGGTCGGCTTAACCGCTTTTTGGTGTACTGTATTGTGGAAGTGGTGGGCCTGGTGGAAGGGTTTGACCGGGTTTCGCGGTTGGCAAGGGTGAACCGCCGCCGTAGTTCTTCGTAGTTTTTGGTGGCTGAAATGAGGCCCTTTATAAGAAAATTTGCCTATTACTATATAAGAACAAAATCCATTTAAAAGTCACTCTTGTTTGCTAAGTTTTTCACTAGGTAAAGGCTTAAAACTCACCCCAACTGGTCCTTTGCTTGTTGGTGGTGGGGTTTGCTGAAATTTTAAAGTTTTTAGATCAAAATCTTTTAGGATCAGAATTAGCCATCAGGTCATAGATTGAACATAATTTCTACTGGTCTAGACACTTACTGGTGGTCCAGGCTTCGGTGTACTGTATGGTGGAAGCGGTGATCCTGGTGGAAGAGTCTGACCGGGCTTGGCGGTTGGCTGCGGAGAGTAGTTGTAGTTCTTCGTCGTTCTAAACATCTTCATTAAGCTTGGATTTTGCTATCCAGTTGCTATATTCCCATATTCCTATATTTAGACTTTAAATGAATTTGTGGTTGCGGATCTGCACTAAAATTATAGGTTTAGAATCAAGCAAAATGGAAAGAATGAAGCTTGAACTATAGTCAGTAGTGGAACATATTGAGTACTTGATTTCGGCGATATGCACAGGTAATAAAAATATTTTTTTACTAGATTCCCCGCTACTTCGCACAATATTATCAGTCTCTTTGAACTCACCACCTTGTTTAGATTGGAACTGACGTTTGGAAAATTAAAATCCAAGCAGATCGATCGCTTATTTTACCAAAGCACAACTATATTCTATGTTTTAATATTGGCTTTTAGAAAAGATGCGGATACTTCGTACTACTGAGAAAAAGCACGGCAAATGATGAATGAAAATTTTAAATTAGCATACAAAAAAATTTACAGAACTACGGCAGCCTTTTTAAAGCGGACGCTTTAGAAAGTGCATCAATCAATCAAGGCGCTTTAGAAAGCGCATCGGAACATACTCTACTCCTAGATCTAATGGCTGAATTAACTTTAAATAAATGAGAAAAATGATATTCAGGGGTTTTGAAAAAATTAGGAGAAAAATCATATAAAAACTCACACAGCCAAGGCGACAACGAGGAGAGCCGAGCAAGCGATGAGATGACGCATTGTATCCCTTTCAAATAACCCCAAGTGGAGGACGATTTCCTAAGTTTCGACCCTTTCTTATATACCCAACTTGATTTCAATCTTTATTCAACAATTTCTAGTAAAAAAAATTGTTGAATTAGCTGTCTATCAGAAAAAATCCAGCAAAAACTGACCATTTGCGAACGATTTTTGCGTGATTCTTGCCCAATTTCGTTAAACAAATGGACGCCCGCTTACAACTACGCAAATAGGATTTTCTGTCTGTTAAAGTTTTTGACAATTTAAAAACGGTACAAAATATGTTCAGTGTATGGCTTTTGTGTTCTGATTAAAGTTGCAAGATAGTTACATTTGATAAATATTTTATTACAAATTATTATAGAGGAGGTAAGTTGTCGGGCAATGGCATGGCTATCATGTCTTCGTAACTTGGTGGAAGTGGGGCATTTCCTGAACAACTTTTTTTTGATTGCATAGTGATTCCTCTCACTAAGACGTGCTCCTTTCTTTCAACTACAGCAATTTTGCCTTCAATTTGATTCTATCTATCTAACTTTGGTCTTTATGCTCACAAAGAACGCCAAGAGATACAAAAAGTAGACAGATTCGATAAAAGCTAGAGACAAGACTACGGTAGTTGCAAAAGTTAACAAGCTTTAGAAAAAGCATCATTGTAAGGGTTCACTTGTTCATCTCTTAGCACATTCATGGCAAAGTCATTTTTGGCAAAAAAGGTGAAATCTGTTTTAGGTTTTGTCCTTTATCACTAGAGGTCATGTGCCAGAAGCCGCGCGATTACGTAAACATGCAAATTTTCATGTTTTTGTAATTGCACACCTTCTGGCACATGGGCCTGGATTTGGGGTCGCACTTGGGCAATTAAACCGAATGAAATATCCAAAAAATAGAGCAGTTTTCTTTAAAAACTGATAACGGATTCAAATTCCTCATTCTCGAAAACTCCTCCTTGTGCATTTTCAGCCCAATCGGCCCCATTACCCAAAACAGTGCCAAATCCACGTACGGGCGACCAGTAGGCCGTATTGTCACGAATGTGTTAAAAACTCACCAACAATCTCTTCAATTTTTGATGGCAATGGAAGGGGTAGGTTTTCTGAAAATACTTTTCAACTTATTGATCTTTGAGCTTACCGTCTTCTGGTAACACCCCATTCACCGGTGGAAGTGGCCGGGGTGGGGAAATCTCTAGTAAATCCGGTCCATCATTCATCCATGGAAAATCTGGAAAGTTATGAAATTAGTAACAAAGTCTTATAATAGCCAAGTATATCATGAGAAAACGTGGAAAACGTAGTTGTGGATCTAGCAATGGTAGGTTTGGATCATGCGTTCCGAATTTAGCCCGACAATTCAAAAGAAGTCAAATCGTAAAATTGATCAACTCCACCAAAATTTCAGATTCTCAATCACCTTGTGGCAATTTCGGCAAATTTCCAAATTCATCGGCTGGCGGGAGTGGTGGAAGACCATTTTCGGCAAATCTAGAGAATTTTCGAGTTTCATTTTATTTGCCTGGCAAAGTCACAAAAGTTTCAAGCCAATTTTTAGTCTTGATTTTCGTGAAAAAATCTGTTATCATTACATTTTGACCGCACTAATATAGTTCGCCCTTATAAATGATTTGAATAGTCTGAGTGATTTGAAGCTGAAATCTCATAAAATTTAAGCCAACACTTGCAAAACTTACACAAAAGCTATCAAAAAGTGAGTGACGATGAAGAAAATTGGATTCATTTTTGAATGAATTCTCAACTTTTCATTGTCTTTTATATGAGAAGCTCGAATTCTTCAATTCAAGGGAACTCCTTTGTTCTATCGAAATTTCCCTCTTTCAATGTGAAAAATTTGTTTACGCAGCCCTTTTTTGAGTTCATGAAAGTTGTGGATTTTTCCTAGCATTTTCTTCTGTTTACCGATTCGTCAAAATTTTTTTGAGTTGTTTGGAGACAATGCTTTTACATTGTTAATCAAGCTTTTGACAACACCTTAGGAACGTTGAAACACCAAGTTTCTAAAGTCAAATTGAAGTGTTGAGCTGTTCATAGTACTATATTAGACATTCGAATTGTGATTGAAGTTCGTTCCTCTTAATTTTATACTCCTAAAAGACGCCTATTCTAAAAAATTACCGGTGCTTCATTCAATTAGTCCAATTTTGGCGTCATTGACTGAATCTTGTGATTTCTTATTGAATGATATCAAAATTTAAGATTGCTGATTGGACCAAAGTTGACTGCTTGATTACGATAGTTTCCGCAAAATAAGTGTCTTTTAGAAAGTGCGCTCTACCTGTGAGCTTTGAGAATTTTCCAATAAACTATTTTGTTCACGGACTAGCTGGAAGGCGAGGGATCACGTTTTCAAAATCTTGATTACTGTTATAGGTGCAAATTTTTGAAACAAATCAAAAGCTATCATTATATTCAAAATGTTTATCGATTTTCTTTTTCCATTTTTGTTCATATCAAATGTTTTGAGCATCCTGCCTCTTTTCTCATTTGTGGAGTCACGGGAAAAGGCATTCCATAAGCTGGTTGGATCCAATCAGCTGAACATACAACCTGGAAAGGGAAAATGAGAAGAAACTTTACCAAAAAAGTGATCAGCTTTTTTGAAAATGAGGCATTCACTAGAATCTGATCTGGTCCTTTAAACTAAACCACAATCCAATTTAAAACAACTTGATCATCAAGCTTGCAAGTGAGTTTTCCCCTCACGAACCATTTTCCTGGATTGCAAAGTGGTCGCTGTACTCGCCACCCACAGAGTTGACGTTCGGTCCAATGGTTCAGCTTCGGCAAAGAGGAGACCTGCGAAGAAATTACAGTCGACTGTCTACATAACGATTTGATCGATCTAACGACTCTTACTTACGGTCCCGGCCGAGTGCTTAACAAAATACTTTAAGCCGACTCTCGATATAACGATTTCATTTCGCGGTCCCGACACCGTTATATCGAGAGTTGTCTGTATACAATTCATAGACGCAAAATATTATACAATTCTCATATCTTTCAAGATTCAAATATCGAACTTCTCCTCATTCAAGTCAAATTTGACGTTTCATTTGATTGATTAAGCTTTTCTTTGGGTTCACTCACCAACAATGGCCACTGTTCCCATTGCGGGAACGTTAGCCGCAAAAACGGTAATTGAATCATCTGATGGACCCGGAGTGGGTACGGTATAGATTGAGGATGAGCAAAGATCCATTCGGTAGCCCTGAACATTAGCTATTTGGCTTCATTACTAACCGATACTGAAGCTAGTAAAAAGTTCAACAGTCAATGTGTTGGTCAATGCTGATTGAGTGCTTGATTCGGAATCTTGGGATAAGACCCTGCAAGCACCCTAGGCGCATTCTGTGCTCACAAACGCATCCTTTCTGGTGCACCAGCTTTATTTTGGCAACATAGTTGAATGTGGTAAGCTAGAACAAAGTTCCCAAAGCACAAAGTACGGTTCCAAAATGCACCCACTTTTCCCGTGTTCCACCTTGTCATGATCGTGTCTCGAGCATGCCAGCGGCCAACTGTAAAAATTTAGTTTTGACTTTAGCACTAGAATTTCTGTTTTACCAATGATTTGTGCTCTCGGGTAAAGATTGAGATTCCCGGTGAATTGCATGTGAGACGAGGTAGCAACCATGAAACGAGCCTCCGCCACACCCCGAGTGGCCAACGCTGAAAGGAGCTGTGAAAGATGTGTTCGAATGACAAGAACCTGGTTCGAAATTCAGATTTTATCATCCTTATTTTATTAATTTCCTAGAGAAGCATTTTGGTAGATTTTACTTGAAACACAAACCCTCAACAATCTCGGGTCCTTGCGCCGGTAGGCCGGTATTTACCAAAACGTTGCAGATTCCATCCTAAAGCTGAGAAATAAATACCCTTGAAAATACTTAAGCAAGTTCAAATGTTTTCAAGGTTTTTCGTGGTATACTTACGTTATTTTCTATGCAAATACAAAGAATTTACCGGTTCAAAGCATCCAAGAATCTGCTCTAAAGGCTCAAGCACTTCTCAAGATGATTAAAACTCAAAGAGAACTTCTTTGGCTTGTAAAATAAGGACATTTTATTCGTTTTTTAAAAGCGAACCTTTTGATCTTTTTATCTGATACTGTTTTTTAATACAAACATTCAGATGCAAGTCTCAATATTTTCAACAGTCCTTTTTTTAATTCACCTGTAATAAAATGACGGCTGGTTTCGTTTCCCAAGAGTTTGGTCCGGCCGATCGAAGAACTGGTGAAGAGAGAAGCGAAAGGGTTATTGGGGATCTCTGAAAGAAAGATCAATTCTTAAAACCTAGGCCCGTTCAAAACTCAAATTGCATTTTTAGGCTTAGTTTTTTTTGTAAATGTTGCTCTTCTTCAAATTTACAATATTACTTCCGGGCACAACTGCGTAAGTTTAAAGAATTTTGAGAAAAGAGCAAAAGTTTGAAATTTTTGAAAAGTTTCCATACTTTTGCCCATGGTCGTTTATCCGAATCTTAAACCGTACCATAACACTCAAATTCGTTTTGAAATATTTCTTCATATGGCTCGATTTCTGTAGGATCACTGGCGATTGTGAGGGCAGACTCATTTGGGGAAGAGCTCGACGGACTGTTTTGTACTCTAAAAGTATCTTGAAGTTAAAATGTTAAGCCAAAATACTAGTTATTACTAATTCAATACTACTAATTACTACTAATTCAATTTCAGTTTGTTTTCACACGGTTTCTACCTTGTTTCAAGACGGTCATCGCACTGTTTGAATCTTTGTAGTAGTTGCTTGGGTCAATCGACCGTGTCTAAATTGTTACGTTTCAAATCTCTTTTAGGGTTTTTATTTTTGGTTAGTAGAGGTTAGTAGGTTCAGGGAAATTTGAGATATTTTATAGTTACGTAAAATCTAAGTTTCAAATTGTTAGGCTCGAAACGCCTATGATCGGTTTCAACTCTTCTGGAAAGTACCCATTTTGATTGGGTTCAAAAAAATTTGCTTTGCTTTTGCTTTAAATTTTGCCAAAAATTTGCTAACAAATTCGCCACCTGTAAATTCGAGTTCGGTGCTATCAATTCGATCAACAGGGCCGTCGTCCCACAACACACAAAATCGTCTCCATCTCGATCCTTTTGACAAAAAGCCATCCGACCGCCCGTTTGAATCACACATGGATCGGCTTGACCCTGGAAAGAAACAACTGCTAAAAAATCCAGACATAAGACATTTTAATCCCGTTTTAATGTTATTTTGAAGAAAATAATTGATCTTTCTAATGAAACAAACCGTCGTGCAATTGGTGCATTTGTTGATTTTAAACAGAAGTACGAAAAGGAACGAAAAGACTTTCTGGACAGCCTAATAAAACCAGCTAGTCTTGATCCAAGCATCGAAAATTGATTTTTGAAATTTCTGGCTTCAAATAAATTGAGTACAGCTTTAAATACACGAAAACAATTTTAAATGGTCCGTCATTTTTTAAAAATTTTAACTTTTCAAGCATTTTTGCCAGTTAATTTTATTTCTTTTGAAAAACCTGTAAAGTGGGCACGCATTTCATGATATTCAGCGTTGCTCGTTGCCTCAATTGTGTCAATCCATTCTCACAGCCGTCAACAAAGAAATCTTTTAGAAATAGTAGAAACAAGAGATTGCTGAATATTTCTCGCATCTAAATTCAACTTACAGTAAAAAAAAAGCTCATTAAAATGTGTATTGAAAAAAAGAGCTGCGGAGAACCCAGGCATAGCTTAGAGATGAAAAACAACAAAAACCCTAACAAAAAGCCCAGCCCCCCCAGATTGCCATTGAATGGATGAGATCTGAATGGACCGATCAACTGAATGAAAAAAGAGACCGGTTTGGGCCTTCTCTCTTTCTTTTCTGTGTGAAGATCTCTTTTGATTATCCCGATTCCCCCTTTGAATCCATCCGATTTTCTTCTCAAGTGCTTCGATCATCACGTAATCAACGGCGATCACTGGTCAAGGGAAAGCGGGAAAAGCCATAAAGGATTTTACAGAAATTTCTCAACCAAGTTTCGGGAACAACTGAATTGCAATGGTCTTAGACTTTTTAGACGGTGAAACTGCTAATTAAATTGATGTGTCTGAGCTGATCACTTTTGAAAAATGTTTTTACGTAACCTCTATACTATTGAAAGATAAGCTGTGTTCTGTGCAGATATTAATGAAATCATTAATTCATCATTATTGAACTTAATCTCTATACTATTTCTTACTTACTATTGTATCCCTACTACTGCACCATTGTAACAATACTGTAAAGTCTTTCTTTACAGTGTACTGAAATAAAAGTATCCAGACCTCGATAAATTATGGCTTCAATAAAATAGATGAAGCTTTAGATCGAGAACTAGTTTAGCCTGTAAAAGTTGTGCCGATAATAATCATCAAAGGAAAATGGGTTTAAAGTGTCTTTGAAAACATTATGTAGAACTTGGAAAGCAAAAGCAATACCAAGAATACCACAGAAACAAAGTCGAAAACAAACCGAATGAGTCAATTTTCTTCGATAGAACAATTCTTGAATCAGATCGGTGTCCTCCCCCCTTGAGGGTCCCTTTCTTCTCTCAATCGTTCTTCTTCTTTTCACACAAACCGATCTCTTGTTCTCCCTCGATTCTATTATAAAGCAAGTCCCCTCATTCACGTGTACAAACAATCACGAAAAAGAAGACACAGAAACGAAACGTGAACCTGTAAAGAATTGGGTTCAATCGAGTGAACCGGGAGCTTTACGAAAAATTCGATGATTCAATTCAAAAGGGTTTCAAGTGACAACTGGCCTTTCATTTTGGTTTGCAATCAATAACTGAGTACAACTGCAATTACTTACAATTAGATGTGAACGCGTTTCAGGAACACACTCATGCCACTAGTTCAGTTTGATTCAGAAGACATACTAGAGGCCTGTTATCAACTCCACATGGCTAAATCTAGTGTTATTTTTTAACCGTTATCTACCAGCAGCTCTTGGGCTAGAGTTAGACTCAGATCAAGCTAGCCCACTTTCGGAATCGGGTCAGTCAGGTCTAAGTATAGCCCAAATCGGGCCATGGCCTGGACCAGTCTCGGTCAACTGACTGTCAACAAGGCTAGTCTCGGTTCACAGACTTTTTGAACAATTTAGCATATCCCTGACCATCAAAGGTCTCTCGAACTTCCCAGCGCCTCCACACGTACCGAAGTTTTGCGCCAAATGGGCAACGACACAGTATACACCAAAATGGTGCGCCCCTTCGAATACGGTCAGTTAAATCTGCACCGGAACAGATTGCCGACGAGAAAGGGAAAGAGTTGTTGTGTCTCCAAGCAAAAGCTCTAATTTGTGCTATATTTGAGCCATTTTATCCATATTTTGGCTACAAATAATTATCGCGGGGGTATAACTCTCATAAGAGCCCTTATGCCTTTCCACAGTTTGCACCATTTTCCCCAAAGAAAAACACCACGGCTGAATAGAGTCGATCTGAACTATACCTGATCAACTAGTCCTTAGGCCTAGCCTATCACATTCATGGCCTCTCGCTTGATGAACAATACAGACTTATGTGGCCAATAACGATACAGACTTATGTGGTCAATATCTTTGTCGCATCGTCTCCTATTTTGCCTATTTTGAGCTTTTCCCGCTCATCGTCTCCAAGAATCACTCCATTCAAGCGGCGCGATGAAGAAAGAGGAAGAAGAGACAAAAAGAATAGAAAAGGAAAATGGGTGGCGAATTGAAAAAAGGAGGAGATGGAGATCCCACTCTTTACCCAAAAAAGGAGAAAATCTCCCCAAAACCTTTTTCTTTTTTGGGGATTTCCTTTAGAAGGGATGCCCCTCCCCCCCTCCCTTCTCCTTCACATCAATGACGGGGCACCCTCTCGACTTTTTTCAAAAAAGACCCCTCTTTTGAGTCATTTTGGAGAAAAGCCGACTCAAACTCAGTCTTTTTATTCTATTCATTGAGACTAAGCAAATTTCTTTGAAGTTTGCATGCAAATTTTAAAATTGGTAAAGATACTGTAAAAGTATTCAGCAACAAGACTGATCACTTTCAGGTCAGAGGCAGAAATAAATGTGTGTCAGGGTAAAATGCTGAATACTTTTTAGCGAGTCAGTACTGCAGCTTTGCATTGAGTTTTGTATACTGTAATGAGTAGTGAGACAGAGTGTAAAAGTTTAAGATTGGACTTTATATTATAGTTAAGAGTTGGAAAAGGCTTCAACCTAGCGAAAATGCATTTCGAGATAAAGCCAACGTCTGACTATACTATCATAGACCAGAATGGTGTTGATCAGCTTGAGACATCATAATTAAAATTTTAATTTTAATGGAGTTAACACAAAAACTGCCAAATGTTGAGTCCATCAATATCACTGACTCCTTTCCTCAAAACTGTCTTCATTCATTTCATAGCTCAAATAAAAAAGCTCACCTCTTGTTCCATCCTTTGACTAATCCACAGCTAATGCTTCCCACTATTCTAGCATCACAACCCAGTCATTCCTATTCTGCTCATCATAACTAATTTCACCTTTTCCACCTTTTCCTCCGCTCTCAAAACTCCGAATTCCTCTGTCTCGCTTCTTCCTTTTCGGCCTTCTCGAGTCTCACCCCTTCGTTGGCCCTCTTTTCAGTGAATCCCCCTATTAATTCCCCAGATCGCACTTCTTAGCCGGGGCGTGTTCTCAAATTTTCCCCTTCTTCTCTATATGGAGCTGCTTCTACATCTCCATCTCCTTTTCTCTCTGCCCCTCTCACTTCATTTCCTGTGTGTTTATGTGTATGCTTGGTCGTCTCGCTTCGCTTCCAATTTTCTCGTCGTCCATCTCCCCTTTCTTTTCAATGCAGCCCCTTTTTTGGGGAATCGATCGTTGTGGGCCCTCATCGAGGCCCGTCCCCCCTTTTCCTGTCCTCTATTTCCTCCCGGTCTATCCATCTTGTTCTCCCCCATCTTTTTCCCTGCCCTGAGGGCCCCCTTCAGCACCCTCGATGGGCCCACCAAAGAGAGAACAACACAACACACCGGCTCTCTCCTTTCCCGCCTCGTGCTCAGCAACCGGTAGTTTCTTTTCGTTTTTTGTGCCACTCTCTTTGTCTATCCCTTAAATTTGTTAATTCGGTTAATTAGTTGAGTTGGTGTGTTGAAAATTTCTTGAAAACTATGACTTTCTCATCGCTTACTGAAGCTAGCTGCAATCTTAGAGACTGGGTTTAAATTCCAAGTTTAAGTTCCAACTTTGGGTTTAAATTTTGAGGATCTAGAAGATACTTTGTATATTTAATAGTGATCTCTTGGTTTTTAGACTTTTTCACCTTAAAGCAAATCGTCTTAAAACCCAAAGTGACCTGTATGTCTTTTTGACGTTTCCGAGAAATGGGTTTCAATTTTAGCAGCTTAAATTTAATTTAATATATGTCTCTCCGTAGATTCATAGCTTATCATAATAAAAAGTCAATTTAGTTTTGGAGAGTTTTTATCACCTATTAATTGTGCTTTTATTAAGCACTTTTGGCAAAACCTTTAAATTAATCGGAAACGTGTTTCAAGTTGCACCGCTCGACTTTGAATTGAGCTCTTTCATAATCACAAATAGAAGATGTTTAAAAACACTGCTTATACTATCCAATAACAATAGCTTTTTCACAGTTGGTCCGCTAGTTATTGGATCCATTCCCCCCGTTTTCCAATTTCTCATCTATAGAGTAAAGAGCAAATGGGGTGGAATTTTCTAAGGGTAGAGGGGTCCTGGGTGAGGGGGAGACTCCCCCTTTCCCCGCTTTTTTTCCAATACTTTGGTCCATTCTCATTTCATTGGGTTGCTTTTGGGATTAGTCACATTTTGGGCTTTTTCGCAAATTCTCTACCACCAACCAACCAACAGCCATCATTTCCTATCACAAAACTCTCCTCCTTTTTTCTCATTAGTATTTTCGCCCTCGTTTCTTTTTCGTCTTCTTCTAAAATCATTTTCTGGAGCTAGTTCCGCAATGTTTTATATCCGAAATTTGCTTAACCTGTCAAAATGCGCTGAAATTGACATACCTATTTAAGATTTTGATCCAAACTTTAAAACTAGCTCGGTATTTGAGTCACATGTCTACCCAAGAATATAATTACGAAAGGAAAAGTTAGCATTAGCACTCGGCATAATGTGTTCAACACACATTAAAACCCATTAAAAAAGTTTGATCTGATAATTTTTCAAAACAACAAATCACTTCGATTTGCATTGATTTCGAATTCATTTCCAATTCTGTTTTGCCAAAAACAAAAAAAAAGAATGTATGAGCACCGATTTTTTGACTAAACAAACACTTTCGGTGAAAAGGGTTGAAGAAGGGATTGGAATTGAAAATAAATACACACAAAAGAGCAAAATTGGCCTCAGCCTCACACGTGTTGTTGTTCTTCTTCTTCTTTTGTCCTTTCCTTTCCCCCTTTTGATATCTCTTTTTGATTTGGCCAATGAAAGTGTGAAAAATCTTCTCCTCCTCCTCTATCTTTCCCAGCATTAACAATTGTGGCTGTCTTTGTGTCTTTTTTCACTTTCTTCCCCTTTTTTTGAAATCTTCCATCCACCATCGCTTTCATTTTGCCTCCACCAAAACACCAGATTTTGGTTGAATTCACATCTGATACACACAAAGTTTGGC